TGACTGACGATTGGTCATGCGTGTGTCCCCCAAATTAATGTATATCATTATTTTTAGGCTGGGCTTTCTTTTGGTGGTAGTTAATGACCACTGCTTTTTTATATTTCCTATTTAAAGGGGAAAAGACTACCTTTTTTTAAAAAAGGTTTCCTTTGTGTTGTCCTGGCATTTTATTAACAGGACAGTAAACACCCCTGAAATGACCTGTTTTGGATAGTAGACACTCCGAAATCCTCTTATTTTTGCCAGTTTTTTTTTTTTTTTTTTTGGAAATTATTATTATTATACAGGATTTATATAGCGCCAACAGTTTGCTCAGCGCTTTACAATATAACGGGAGACAATACAGCAACAATACAGTTCAATACAAAAGGGTTAGGGGGGCCCTGCTCCTGGGAGCTTCCAATCTAAGAGGGAAATAAAGGAATATGTTGGTATTGAGGTGGTTAAAATCTGCAGCTTCGTATTGGTGCAATAGAGAAAGCAGCATCATAGGTCATACACAGAGAGGAGCAGAATAAGGGTTCATATATACTGCAACTCCTAAACTGACGTTCAGGAGCTGTTCAGAGTTTTCTTTTCAGCAGCCCCTGAACTCTCCCTAATTTTTTCCTAAGTGTCCATGTACACTGTCATTTACAGGCAGTTGAGTTTAGTCGTTTTTTTTTTGAACGCACCAAACTTGTGTTCAGGAGTAGATTTTACCGGTGTTTCAAACGCGTGTAAAGCGTTTTTTAACTGTTCCATGTCCAGATGCTGTACAGAGCCTTTTTTCATCATTAGAAATGCATGCAAAGCGTTTTCCATGTATTCAAATGGACCCGGTACACCAGTGCAGTCAGTTCCAGGTTTCGCGTGAAGGAAACAATGGTAGAACGTTCTGCATTATGCGCATGATGGGATCCATAGTGAATACAACCAGAAAAGACAGGTCATCTCAACACATACTGCTCTCTCTGCTTCTCTCAAAATGTCTGAAATAGTAAATTTTTTTTTTTTACTATTTTTCAGTGCATTCTGGGCATTTGGGAAGGTCTCCTGAGGTTATATTTTAAAAACGCTTCTAAACGCGCATGAATGCGGTATGCAAACGCGCTAAACTGATGTTTTTTAACCTACATTTTCCAGCAGTCAGTTTCCATCATTCAGGAGAGTTTTCCAAACACCCGGTGTACGTGAGCCCTAAGGGCGTTAATATACAGGTCACAAGCAGTGCCAGGATAGAGATGAGGGGGTTATTATTCAGATGTTCAGGATAAGGGAGGTGAGGGGTTAATATACAAGTCACACAGACAAAATGGAGTTGAGCTGTACTGGGGAGGTGAAAGTGTTAAAAAGCGATCCCACAATCAACCCCCTTCTACCCTGAATCTGCTGCTTCTTTTGCTCTGGAACTAATGAATAATCATTCATTGGTTCCTTCCTATGTAAGAGGAGGGGGGGGTTCTTAGATGTAAACTGTAGTACTGATGGCTGTGATTTGTCACATGGTACAGAGCCACATGGATCTGCTCTATACACCTGTGTCTGCAGACCAAACAGTCAGATGATCACTCGCTTCACAGCCATTAATAGGCGCACTAGCAACCCGAGGGCTATTTCTGAGGTGCCTGTCATTAACCGTACCCAAGATCTAGATGTCCTTGTCCCCTGTTACAGCACAGTATGGCAATAGGGAGATGGTTAGAGAGGGTTTCAGCTTTGATCAAATCCTTTTTAAACGTTACCAATGATTCCTATGAATTGTTTTCAAATAACTGGTAAAGACCCATCAGTGTTATGCAAATTAATCTGAATCAAGGGTCTATTTCATAGGATTTCTGGTTCTAAACCCCCATATAGTAAACAGAGGTATGCATCAAAATGATTAGACATTCCCCTTAAATGACGTCGAGGATGTGCAATTCCTATCACCCGATGCCCGGGACAGTAAGTTCCGGTGCCGGGCAGGTAGTTTTTTTTTTTCTTTTCTTCTTCGCCTTCATTCCTGCTGCAGGCAAGCAGCAGGGCTCACCTGTCAGCCTGCTAACCGCCAAAGCTAATGGCCACTATTCAGTGCTCCTACTCCTCGACCTTTCCACAGCTTTCGACAGTCGACCACCCCCTCCTCCTCAAAAAACTACACTCCCTCGGCCTCAGAGATTCCGCTCTCTCCTGGCTCTCGCCCTACCTATCACAACACTCCTTCAGCGTTACCTATAACGCTGCTACCTCCCCCTCACTCCCCCTCTCTGTTGGGGTCCCTCAAGGCTTTCTCCTCGGGCCCCTTCTCTTCTCTATCTACACCTCCTCCCTTGGCCAACTCATACACTCTCACAGCTTCAACTACCACCTCTATGCCGATGACACGCAAATCTATCTCTCGACCCCCCTTGCCTCACCCCCTCAGTCTCCGCCCCGAATCACAAGCCTACTGAACGACATATCTGATTGGATGTCGCTCCACTTCCTTAAACTGAACCTCTCCAAAACCGAGCTCCTAGTCTTCCCCCAGCCCGCGCACCTTCCCCCACACTGACTTCTCCATCACATCCAACAATGCCACCATCAGGCCCGCCCTGCAGGCCAGAGTACTTGGTGTCATTCTTGACTCCAATCTATCCTTCCAGCCCCAAGTCCAATCACTGACAAACTCATGCAGACTCCACCTCCGCAACATCTCCAAAATCCGCACGTTCCTAACCCCAGAAACCACCAAGCAGCTCATCCACTCCCTCATCATATCACGACTCTATTACTGCAACTCCCTCCTCACTGGCCTGCCTCGCCATTGGCTCTCCCCGCTTCAGTCGATCCTGAATATGGCAGCCAGACTCATCCACCTTACCAACTGCTCTGTTTCCGCCACCCCCCTCTGCCAATCCCTCCACTGGCTTCCGATTGCCCAACGGATCAAATTCAAAATCCTAATACTGACGTACAAAGCTGTTCATAACACTGCCCCAAACTACATCACTGACCTAATATCCAAGTACCAACCTACACGCACTCTCCACTCCTCACAAGACCTCCTCCTTCTCTCTAGTTTCCTAGTCTCCTCCTCCCATGCCCGCCTCCAGGACTTCTCCAGGGCGTCACCCATACTCTGGACTCCCTACCCCAATCCATCAGACTATCACCTACTCTCCTCTACTTTAGGCGCACCCTGAAAACCCATCTCTCCAGGGAAGCCTACCTCACCCCCTGCTAATTCCCGACCTCCTCCACTCTTCCTACCACTCCATCCCCCACAGCTATTTCCTCCTGTACCACCTCCCTCCTAGATTGTAAGCTTCAAGGAGCAGGGCCCTCGAACCCTCGTGTATCACATTGTATTGTTATTGTACTGTCGCATGTTCTGTCCCCCATTGTAATGTACAGCGCTGAGCGAACTGTTGGCACTTTATAAATACTGTATAATAAAAGGTGGAAGCATTCGGTCGGCAGCGCTGCCGTCCGATTGCTTCCACACAGCCCACATTGTCAGCCTCTTCACCCCTGCCTGCTTGCCCATCTGCGGGCCTGGGACTTGCTCAGTGTGCGCCAGTGGGAAGTGGTATAGGGATGACCTAGAAGTGATGTGATGTCAGTTCTGTATCCCCGTTTGACACATTCCCGGTCATTGAGGCCAGGAAAGCATGTAATGCAGTGCGATGTGCACTGCATTACATTCAGTGGAGCACAGGGGAGACATCAAAAAAGATAACCTGTCACCAAAAAAATCATCACATAGGGGACTTTTTGTCCCCTATATATTTGGAAAAAAAAAGTTAAGTAAAAATGATTTTTTTTTTTTTTTTGAATGGAAGTTACACCCAAGCATATAACCCCCAACATTTTTTTAAGGCACCCCCATATATGTATGCATGCACAAATATAAAAGCACACGCTCAGGCGCCTACACATGAAAACATTGATTGCGATGCATGTTACATATCGCTGCGCACACCAGAATGAGAGCAATAATTCTAGCACCAGACCTCCTCCGTCACATACTGTATACTGATGACCTATAAGGGGCTTTTAAAAGCGCCACCTATAGAAAATATAGGGTACTAACGTTTGTTGCCATTTCACAAGTGCATGCAAATTTAAGGTTTGACATGTTGGATATCTATTTACTCGATGCAACCTCATCTTTTATATTTTACAAAAAAAAACTGGATAATTTTATTGCTTTTTGTGCCCTAAAATTAACATAAGTGTATTTTTTACTGAAATTTAACATTTCCTGGACCTTTGTGATAATATCGTGTGACATAAAAATTGGAACTACCGTTATTTTATTCTCTAGGATCTCTGATTTCATAAAATATATCATGTTTGGGGGGTTTGTGTCATCTTCAGGCCTAAAATGATTTTTTTAAATGTGTGCAAATAATGAAAAAACAGCTCTGGCAGCGAGATGGAAAAAGGATAAGCCAGACACTCCTCTTTCCTGAGGAGCAGCCAATCGGTGCTCATTACACTGCATGGTCTGTCCCCTCCCTGCTAGTCCCCGGGTGCGGTGCTGGAGACAGGCAGGGAGGTGAGGAGGAGATAAACGTTTAATATTTTTACCATTGTGCTGTTTAAGTCGCCATAAAGCCCTTTTTGTTTTTAAAGGCCCCAGACATTACTTAAAGCAGATTTTAAATACTGTTTTGTTTAAAATTTTATGTGTTTTTTTTTTTGTTTTTTTTATATCTGGACAAGTAGATTGGGACACAGATTTAGTCCTTGGACAAGTAGTTTTTTCTAAAATTTCCACACCCCTGTGACATATAGGGGTTTATTTACTAAAGCTGGAGAGTCCAAAATCAGACTCCCTTCTGCATAGAAACCAATCAGCTTCTAACCTCAGCTTGTTCAATGAAGCTTTGGCAATGAAACCTGGAAGCTGATTGGTTTCTATGCAGAAGGGAGTCTGATTTTCGACTCTCCAGCTTTAGTAAATAAACCCCAATATGTCCTGATGTTCACCTGCAATTGCAGCCAGATTTCTGTTTAGACTTACATATAACAAGTCTTCTTTTATTTAGAAGGTCCAGCAAAAGGAGGTGACTTTATGAGCCCCAATGAAAGTGGAGACAATGCAGGTGACCAGACTACGCTGGAGGAGAGCCATGGGCCTCTACCTGAAAATAAGTTGCTGTTCGCAGGATACGCCTTTCTGCTTACTACATCCACATCCAGTGACAAAGTCAACAATCGCCTGAAGTCGCAAGAGATTTCCTCCTTCAGCAGTGAAGAAGATGAAGGTGATTTTTGTGTCCGGTTGTTTGAGATGTTACTTTTTTTCTTCTTCTAGTAGGGGCTGGAATGTTAAAAAATTAAAAAAAAGAGATGATCTAGATTGTAAATCTGACGTAGTCAGTAAGGTATTATAAATGTTTGGAAACATTTCGAGGTTGTACTATGATGCTATGGAATAATTTTTTTTTGTATATTCATTCTTCCATAAATTGGTTTATCTTCCGAATATCATTTCTCTATGTGGTTGGACTACTTGTACGCAAGTTTAATTTTGCACACATTGTACAGTGTCCCATAAAGCTCAGTCCCTGTTTTCAATGACCCGACAAGAACCGTATATGTAAAGCGGGTTGGAAACGAGCGCTGGATAGGATAAGAAAGCTGCTAGCATGAAAGGTAAAAACCTCTAAAACCTTCTATACAACCATATAATACAAGCATGCAGCGCTAGAAACGTGATAAGAGCATAAAACGTATATAAAACGTATATAAAAAGTCCAACTATTATCAATATAAAATAAATGACTATATAGTGGTTATGTCATAACCTTTAGCACCAATCAAAGCAAATAAAATAAAATGAAACTGACAGATATGCGCACTGAGGTGTTATACAGGTTCACATGTGACAAAATGTCCAAAGTTGGCGTTTAAAAGGTGCATAAAGTGAAGCAAAGTTCAATCAAAATAAATAGGTGGAAATCCGTGATAGTGGTGTTGAGATCAATGAGTGTAGATTGCACTAACCAGAGAGCGCAAATCAATGCACATTTGAGTACATTAGGACCAACTCCTGGTCATTAACATCTGGTAACTGGAACACCAGGTCATCTAATGAGCATCGATTAGGTAGGCAGCACACCATCAAGGCATCCAGGCACCAGGAATACAGTTGACATGACAGTCTCCTCCTTGGATTGGAACTCTTTCCTGTGCACCAGCTTCTGCTTTCTTATATGGGAATCCCACATGGACTTTGTTGTCATTTATATGTACGGCCATTTTTGGGAATGGGAGATTTTATGTTTAGCGCCACAATTTCTTAATTTTTAAAGGCAAGAGATAGGTTGTCCTCCCCTCAGGTCGCCCTCACTTATGAATAATTATGATATGAATATTTATTGTTTCTCACCATGCGACTTGTATATTTGAGTTTCATCACTTTTATTTTATTTATGGTCTTCTGTCCGCACACAGGGACATATCTCTATTATATTTTATTCTCATACAGTATTTTCTTGTGAGCACTACACTGGTTGTAGAAACATATTCTCTCAGAACTGATTGTGTGTGTGTGTGTGTTTATTATTATTCACCTGAGTGCAGATTTTCTCATTATTTTTAATATTTTTTTAAAATAACTGCAGAAAAGAAAGGTAGACAATACAAAGTGTGGTTTCATCCTGCATTCACTGTATCTGGTCTCCCCGGACCCTGCATTCACTGTATCTGGTCTCCCACAGTACACACAGCATGGAAGTTCAGTTATTTTAGTAAATATAAACTGCTAAATACCTTTTCCCATCAGCAGTTGGAGCAGTCTTGTGACTTCTATCAGTGTCCAGCAGAGTTAAAGCTGGTAGGAGGAGTTTTAATTTTGCTCTACCTGATTTCTGTCTGGACATCACATGCACTCTCCCAATAAGAAAAAAAAAAAAAAACCTCTCTAGCAATACACACCAAACTGAGCATGTGCAGAGTGATTACACAAGATATGTATGATCAGGAGATAAGAGGGGGACACTGGAAAAAGAGGAGGATCAGAGAAGATCAAACAATGCAATTATACAATGCAGAGGATTACGCCTTAGGTTCCACAGTATAACCAGCATGCTTTTCTGCATATACAGACTGCGTTTTACTGTTGTGGGTTTAGTAACACTTTAAAGTGTTACTAAACCCACAGCAGTAAACAGCCTGCATATGCAGTAAAGCATGCTTGTTATACTCACTGTGGAACCTAAGGGGTTATTCCTCTGCATTGTATGAAAAGGCAGTTTGAAAAAGGGGAGGAACAGAGAAGTCAGGATCAAACAACCACCTCTTATCTCCTGATGAGTAAGACTGAACCGTAGGCATTTGCACATGCTCAGTTTGGTGTGTATTGCTAGAGAGGTGTTGTTTTTTTTTTTTTTTTTTTCTTGGGAGAGTGCGTGTGATCAGCACAGGGCCAATCAGCACTGTCCAGACAGAGGTCAGGGGTTTTACAATCTCCGAGAGCAGAAAGAAAACTCCTCCTACAAGCGTTAACCAGTGCTCGGCTGGACACTGATAGAAGTCACAAGACTGCTCTAACTGCTGATGAGAAACGATATTTAGCAGTTTATATTTACTAAAATAATTGCTTTTCCATGTTCTGTGTGCTGTGGGAGACCAGATATAGTGAATGCAGGGTCCTGGGTTTAGTAACACTTTAAGGGACCCTCTTAGAATTTGATGGGAGATCAATCCACCGTTCCTCAACATTCTCAGAAGGAAGTCTACAGTTCCATGGAACCTTGGTTGAGAATCCCTGATGTTTAATATGTTGTCTATCCCCACGTCCTTTTTTGCCAAGGATACCAAACTGGAAGACAGCAGCAGCCTTTGATGGTCTTTATTGATATTCGAAACCTAGTTGTATACCCAACAAAGACTAGAATAGTGGATAGAGCTACTCTGTATAAATATGAAGATGACTTGTTTGTCTGTACCTGGGAGTTAGATGCACTCACACTGGCCCTTTTAACCAGTCCCGGGAGCAGTGTACCTCTTGGAATGGTTTTGGTTGTTTAGTGTCAGTGCTTTGAATCACATGGGATTGATTAAGCGTACCATGTCCAGGACCACTTGGAAAAGGTGGTCCCTGGAACGGTTCACTTGTGGTCCAGTATGGCTTGTTTCAGTTTGAGTGCAAACCAGGCGAGAGCACAGAGCTCTCCATAGATGACAGAGAAGCCGGGATCACTGGTCTGGTTAATAGAGCAGGTGGTGTAAATGTGCAGTGTGAGTGCAGACCACCCGGGTTGTAGGGAGGGGGGGGACAAGTGAACTCCGTAAACCAGTCCGTGTGAGTGCTCCCTTATACAGGTCTCATAACATGTCTTTAAAGGCCATGACAACAATTCAATTTCTAGCTGTCATTTACTAGTGTAGCATAGAATCACATTATTTATTAGCTCGGGAAATTGAATTTGATAAATGAAAACCAATAACATATAATCAGCACATGCAGGTTATTGGAATTGCTTCTTATTGCAGAATACATTGAAAGCACACCATATAACCGACAGTACACAGAGGATCAACTCCGGGCTGGAGGGGGCTGCATTGTCGACAATTTCAGTGAAGCATTGGTGAGACATTCATTGAATATATTACATTTTTCATGATCAAATCATTGAATATATTGCTTTCTGCGTGGTTTTTGTGTTTATTTTTTAATTCTTCCACATGTGTACGACTTTTTGAGCAAACAAGACTTTTCGTTTATTTATTTTTTATTTTTTTTGGTTTTATGGTCTTCCAAAATACTGTACTTTAATTTCTGTATATTCAAGGCAAGTTTCTGTACAGACTGTTAAAAATTGTCAAAAATACTGGCTAAGGATAAAAGTTCGGAATGGGTTATTTATGGATTAGCACAAAACATTTAAATGTACTTGATCCTTCTAGGTGACACGTTTATTTGTTACATATAAATAGGGGAGGGGGCATAACACATAGGCAGTCATTTCAAAGAGGAAAAATTTATTTAGCTCAATGCCTCTATCCAAGCACTTTTTCAATCATTGTATAAAAGTAAGAAAAAATATCAACAGATATCATTAACATACAAAATACTTCATTTAGTAATTACAATTACAAAGAAACACACTCAAAACAAAACAAACCCCAATTAAAACCCTTAAACTTTTTTTGAATTTAAAATATAATATATGTATCCTATTGGTCCCGGAACGTGATTGTTTATCGTAACTTCCAACTGAGAGCTCTCAGGAAAACAGGGATAGTAATAGATAGATATAGGTAGAAAGGTGGCCACAATGAAATAACTATCCAGCATGCTGGAAAACATATTCTAAGTCATAAACAGTATCTGGTTATCAAAGATATGTATGTAGACTTTTGCACACAGATTTTCCGCAACAGATGCACTCCAGTTGAATAACAGGTCTAATTAAATCTGTCTATGTATGGAACCTAGGAAGCAAATACAATTGAACAGCCTCTAAACAAGGCAAAGTTGAATAAGGTGGCTGTAATCAAGCAAATAGATCCGAAAACATCACAATGTGGTCCAGAGGAGGTGACAATGATGGTAGCAACTACAGACTCATAGGGGCATACGTTGCCCAAGGTTTACTCCATGTCATTGTTGGCCTCACTCACACTAGTAATTTGTGTTGTTCAAAAGATATCCATAGTGACTTTTTTAGCTTGATTCCTCAGCTTACAATATATATATATATATATATATATATATATATATATATATATATATATATATATATATATATATAAATTAAATGCATACACACACTATTAAGTCCAACCGTACAACTGGGGCACATAAAAAAGAATTGGCAAACGTGTTTTTTTTAATACTTGTGACCTTAGCCACCCGAAGCAAATATAATTTACCAAAATGCCACGAGAGGGATACTAATCAGTCTTGTAAGGAATCCATAATGGGTCCCGTCATGACTTGCACAGCCTGACTGGTTTCGCCAACCTCACCCGGCTGCATCAGAGGCATATTTATAGATTATAAGGGTTAGAGTAAATCCAGCCATAGATGGATTGAAAATCAGTTGAGCCGGGACTGGTTGTACAGAAGTCGATCTTTCAAGAAGATCAAATTCTGTGGCCAAGGTATCTCTAATTTTCTTATTTGAGCGAGTCAGTTAGGATTATCAGGTCGTGTCTGCCTGGGCCAGGAGAGAAGAGAGCGCATGGATTTTGCAATCCCTCTCAGACTTGCATCAGGAGGCCATCTGGATTGTTATAATACAGGATTTATATAGCGCCAACAGTTTGCGCAGCACTTTACAAAATGAAGGTAGACATTACAGTTACAATACAATTTGGTACAAGAGGAAACAGAGGGCCCTGCTCGATGGAGCTTACAATCTAGGAGGAAGGATTGAGTGATACAAAAGGTAATAGCTGTGGGGGATGAGCTGATGGAGGAAATAAATGGCGGTTTACTAGGTAGAGGCAGGATAGGGTTCTTTAAAGAGATTTTCAGGGATCGTTTAAAGGTGGATAGATTAAGAGATAGCTGGACAGATTGGGGTAGGGAATTCCATAGGATCGGAGAAGCTCGGGAGAAGTCCTGGAGGCGATCATGGGAGGAGATGACATGGGAACTAGAGAGCAGAAGGCTTTGGGAGGATCGAAGAGAGCAGTTTGGTTGATATTTTGAGACCAGGTTGGTGATGTAGCTGGGAGCAGAGTTGTGGATGTAAGTGTCCCCTTATTGTAGTGGATTCCCAGAGAACTATAGGGGAAGCCACAGACACCCCATGTTCTCTGTAAAGAATGTCTGGATATGTTCCTGCAGTTGAAAGATACTTGAGGAAGGACTAGTTCAAATGTCACTGAAGTGAGGAGCGGTCAGGCCTAGAGATCCTGCAGGGCAATAAAAGCGGATATTGGTCTGATCAAGGGGTAGTCAGTATATGATCTTATCGACAAAGGGTAAATGTTGTAGGGGTATAAAAACCTGGTCGATCCTACAGTAGCTGTGATGAGGACATGAATAGGAGGTACTGTAAATTCCCTAGATCATGGAATACAGCCAATTTTGCCTTTGTAATAACTATTAGAGAGGGCTCCATTACACGACAACCAGTGCTTACTTTTCTGCAAACGCATTTCCAACTGACAACTGGTGCTGTAATTCTAGAATTAGCTGAAAGATCATGTCATACCAAAAGATAGCCCTGAACTTCATATGACGGCTGTCAGTGATCATTCTTAGAACTAGTGTCAGCCTAGTAGATGGAGCTGTGTTCTTAAAGCTGGGCATAGACAGATCAAAATTAGGCTGGTGTTCAGCAAGGAGAAACAAAATGTCAATCTATGTGTGGCCCTCTTCAATAGAAGTTGACCACGGCACCACCTGCCTGGAGTCTGCATGTTCTCCCTGTGCCTGCATGGATTTCCTCCAAGTACTCCAAGGTTTCCTCCCACACTCCAAAGACATGCTGGTAGGTTAATTGGCTCCTGTCTAAATTGTCCCTAGTATGTGTATGTATGAATGTCAGTTAAGGACCTTTAATTGTATGCCCCTTGAGGGTTAGGGACTGATGTGAATGTGTGTAATATATATGTTAATTGGCGCTATACAAGCACCTGAAATAAATAAATAAATAAATATGGTTGGAGGAAATTGTTATTTTTGTTTTTTTTTCCATTTGTTCAGCACACTGGCTGAACAAAAAAAAAACAAAAAAAGTCTGTGCCCGGCTTTAGACAGTAACCCTGATGAAAGGGCTGGTTCACACCTGATTCGCACAAGAACATGATTTTGCCTCATTACCATTGATCAGCTTTAGAAAACTGAGGCTGCCAGTAACTATGGGGATTTCTCTAGTGGGGCACAGTCATGTGATGGGTGTAAGGGTGAAGATGGGCCCCTCTCCGCAGGTGAGCTGTGTCTTCCAATGAAACCTTTTGTATTTGGAATCCAGCCTTTGTTTCTAAGCTATACCTGTACATGGGTATGTAGAGTGATTCTGTCTTTCCTTTCTTCCCTTAGTGCAAACCAGACTCAAAATGTTTGCTGATTGCTGACCAGCACTGCCGAACCCGGAAATATTTTCTGTGCCTTGCCAGTGGAATCCCTTGTGTGTCTCATGTCTGGGTACATGACAGTTGTCACTCTAATGAGCTGCAAGGTATGAACAATTACCTCCTCCCTGCCGGGTACAGCCTTCAAGACGACAAAATTTTGGAATGGTAAGATGAAGTTTCCAGTTTCATTTTTTTTGGGGGGGAGGGGCTAATTCTATCTGTACTACATGAATCTTTTATGACACTGATTTTGCAGGCACGGCTCCAGGCATCCTTTCCAAGGTTCCCGCTTTCTTGTGGTATCTGACCAGCAAGAGAATTTCCTGGAAGTATGGACAGAAGTATTAATGGTTGGAGGCGCAGCGTCTGCAAAGCAGCGCAGTTCTGCAAATACAAACAAAGGTATTCATTCAATTCATCTGGCACTAATGCAGACCTTTGTATTGTAGGAATGTCTTCTTGTAGAAGTAACATTGTATTAGAACTCTCTATATTATTCAGCATGTTTTTGTTTTGTGCTCTTTAAAATATGAAGTTTCTTATTTTTACGCACAACAAGATGGGAGAGGAAGAACTCTGGGCAATTTTTTTTTCCTCCATTCAGTTGGGCTGTGCACTGCTTTACCGCAGAGGGGGTGGGGGGCAGGAGGCACTGGGAGGATAGGCAAATTAGGTGACGTTATCTTGGCTCTCCAGTCCCCTAGACAAAAACAAGCAGCTAACCTATGCAGTGCTGGCACAGCTCCACTGTATGGAGGGGAAAAAAAAAAAATTTCCTGGAGTTCTTCTGTAAAGACACTCTATAAGTCCGTTGCGCCTCCATGCGACAAATGTCAGTGCTTGCCCCAAATTATACATACGTGGTCACTCAAGTGCAACAGAGTTCCCTTCTCACCTCTGTAGCTGTCATACAAGGCAGTGGCCGAGATGTTTGTAGCTAGGTGGGTGGATCATGATGGTGATTCAGAGGAAACAAGTCCTTCAACAGGTCCGCTCTTTGTCTGTGATTGGCTGTGGGCAGATTCCGCAGCCAATAGACAGCCTGCTATTGGTCATGAAATCTGCTTAATGCCTGCTGACAATTACACTTGGGTGATTGGAGAGGAGCACTCGGTGTCCACAAAGTCTCACTTGATGAATTTGATAGTTTATTGAAGATAAAAGTAGAGCGAGCGCATTTGGGTGGATTTGCCTCCCCCCTTCTTCAGGGCTGTATTTATTGGAGAATGATTAGACTCTGAGCTGGTAAAGATATTTTCTCAGCAGCTTTGCAGTATGCTGGTCTTGTGGAGCGGAGGCCGCCTGTCTCTGGCACAACAACGACATACCGCAGAGCCACTGATCGAATATATTTAACCCTCTCAGAGTCTAACATTTCTCCAATAAATAAAGGGGGGAGGCAATTTCCCTGAAACATGTTTGCTCTACTTGTATACTTTCTCACTTAACTTTATAGTTTATTGAAGATAACTTTTTTAGACATCGAGCCCTCCTCCCCAATCCCCCATGTGTTCCCTGCAATAATGCCTCCATTGTCGTTATCGGAAAGGTAGCAGCCCTAGACCCCAACAGAGTCCATCACCGACCACCTACAATTAGGATATAACCCATTGGAAGCAATTCCCTCTATACCCTGCCCACAGTAACTTGCCGCTAGGCAGCCACCAGTGGCACCATTCCAACGCTTTCTTCTGCTCAAAATTGATGCTGACAATTACAAGAAGAGATGGAGAACTAGTTTCTCAGCTTCCCCATCAAGCTCCTTCCACTGTCAGCGTGGAGCCTGTGGGCTGTGAAGCAGACCGCATCCTGGACAGGCAGTGATGAGGAGGGAGTAGTGGTTGCTAACATGCCACCCTTCTTACATGTAGGCATACAGATACAGGCACTTAGATTTGGTCTAATTACCTCCAATGTATTATCTACAAACAAAATCTGGTGTTCGGAGAGCCATGCCACCAAAAAAGTGGTGCAGGTGCTTTATTGAATTCCCCCATTGTGTAAGCTTTGACTTTGATGCCAATTCTCCAATAAGGGATATTTTGCATATACTCCAGCTTAGTATGATACATCATAGCTTGTCTGTCACTGTATATATCACTGCCTTGGGTATTCCTTCTGCATGTTGATTTTCCACCGTAGTTAATGTTGAGAAGGCTTTTAGATGGCCTCGCAGTTACAAATTGCAGCAGAGTCCTAGAGCTGTAGGTGCGTATTTATGGCATTGGATCTGCATGGCCAGCAGTTACCCTTTCTAGTGGTTATTACTGTTAACATACAAAGTGGTTTCTAACTCTTATTTTCTTGATTTGTGTTTATTTCTGTTGTAGATGTTGCTTTGGGGGTTTTTGATGTCGTCATCACAGATCGTTCATGTCCAGAATCCATTTTAAAATGTGCTCAAGCTCTAAACCTTCCAGTGGTTTCATCGGAATGGGTGATTCAGTGTCTCGTTAATGGAGTGCAAGTTGGTTGCAATAAGCACCCAAAATACAAACATGACCATGTTGTGAGCTAAGAAGACTCCATTTCAATACCCTTTTTATCAATCCTCCTCTTTTTGCTGCTTTTTTCATTGTGCATATATTGTGTTTTATTGAAGTTTTAGATAGTTTTAATTGTTTGTGTTTATTCTACATTTGCATGTATCCACTTGTACATAGTTTTAACTGCTGGACTTTTATGATAAAATAAATGTTAAATCTTTGTTTTAAATAAGATTTTGTTCCATCTTTATGTACAGTTGGGGTGTTACTGTTACATCCATTCTTTTTTTTTTTTTTTTGCTCTGCCCTCCTGTAAGCTTCCTCAATGTATTGCCTGTACTTCGAGAAGCATGGCAGCTGCTATTGATGACCTCCTTATGTTGACAACAATCCAACAATTAGCATTTTTATAAGTACTTAGTCCCCATTACTTAGGCCTCATGCAGACTGGATGATTTTGGTATCTCACCAGCACACCAAGGAATCCTCAAAATGGGTCCAAATCTTTATTTCGTGGTCACATGATAAACACAAAGGCAGTTTCAGAGCCACGTGCGGCCCCTTTGTCAGGCAGGTAACTTTGGACTCATTTTGAGGATTCCTTGGTGTGTTGGTGACATTTCACTTGGATTGTCTGCAGTTGTCAGCCTAGTCACTACAGTATCCAGCAATACTGAATAGCCATTTGCAGGAATGTGTGCATTGGGAATACTGCATTTGGACCTGGTATCTCTCCTAGATGCCTTTCCGCCTGGCAGTGGTGTTTTGGCAGAAAAAAACACTTGTAAATGCATTTAGACGCGTCAAGCGTTAATACATTTCATTAACCAGAATAATAATCTATTCTAGCCATTGGAATTCTGTAATGCTGAAGCGCAGTGTTGTTTCTGCCAGAATATGGCTGCTCCTAGACCACTGGTAGTGGGTTTTTCATTTCTGCCTCTAAACCCACTATGTGTGTAAAACAAATTCCAGATGCCCCTAGGAGCAGTGTCAGAAATGCCTAGTGCAAATTGGACTTTCAATTGAGCATGAAGCTGTTAAAGTCAGAGCCTCTGATCTCCATCCTTGTTCCAGGTGAGTGATTCAAAAGTATCGCAGCCAAGGAATTACTCAATTAGAATTTTCATTCATTTGCCCAATTTCCCTCCAGACCACTACAATGCAATATTCTGTTGTGTGACAAGTCAGTGCAGTCCCTGGACAGGCCAATTCAATTGGCACCATGGACCAATCAAATCCAGCTCTGGATCTTTTTGAAAGATCCTCATAATAGATGCCAGTCTGGGCATCGTGTTGGTGCAGGGGACTTCAACAATCGACATGCTGGAGTTTTGGGTAACCTGGCTGTCCATGCAGTGTTGGACTATCCTGCTGGAAAGATACCTGATTTTGATTCTTTCACACAGAGCCACAGCAGTGGTATACAGCAAGCTTCAGTGAGGAACAAAAAATCTTCCTGTGGTGAAGGAGGTAGAGCAGATGCTGTCTTGAGTAGAACTTCACCTTCCATCCTTGTCTGCCATTTACATCCCAGGCATGGGCCATTGGCAGGCAAACATTCTCAGCTGGTAATGTCAGTGCCTGGATCTGGGGACGTGGTCCCTAAACCTGGAGTGTTCCAGGACTTGTTACAGGATGAGGACCTCTTGGCCTCTAGGTTCAACAACAAACTGCACAGGTTTGTCCAGGTACAGGGATCCTTTTTTTTTTTTTTTTTTTTTTTTTCTTTTCCCTTTTGATCAATGCTTTACCTCTGAAACAATTCTTTGTCTGCTTCATAAAGATGCAAGGCAGTCTGGTAATTATTTCTAGAACCTGGTAAGACTTCTGGCGTACAATCCATGGCCTTAACCATGTCTTCTGTAGCAAGGACTGATTTACCACCCTGTTTCATGGGCATCGACTTTAGGAGTATGGCTGTTAAAGCTCAGGTTATGAGGGAAAGGAACATCCTCTTGGAAATCATATATTCTGGGAAGTATACTTCTCAGATACCATTGGCCTCTCATTCATTGATTTAACCCTGGTTCACACTGGATCCGACTTTGAAATCGTGTGACGTGAAGTGAAGTCGCATGGTTTCAAAGTCTCATGTTTTCAAAGTCACATGTCAGTGCAACTTGGCAGACATCTGTGTGCTTCATGCACAGATGTCCATGCAACTTGCGCCTGAAATCGCAAGAAAAGTTGCAGTATTTTACTTTGGAACACTTTCAAAATTGAAAATGTCTCTTTTAGAAACATTTTGATTTGATCAAATCCCATTTTATGTGTTCCCTGGGTTCGGCAGTTACAAAGGACCCCACAGTCACCCCTTAGGAGTCACGGTGTACTCAGGAGGCAGGGCATAGGGGAGAGATCTGTTATCTACAAGTTGCTGCTCGCCTCCGACGGCAAATTTTCTTATTCACGGGCAAGGGAGTCGGCTTTAGCCTCTGAGAAGGATGTAGAACATTGGCATTCTTTCTTCCACTCGGCATACAAGGGCTTATTAAATATTTCTTTGGTGAAAGCAAATGTATAGGTGGTGACCAGATGGTACATGGTCCCCTCGCCTCTCTCGAGGCTGTACCTGACTTCCTCACCCCTTTGTTTTTGGGCCGTCAATTGCTTGGCACTGTGTATCGCATATGGTGGGAGTGTCCAAAGCTGCAGCACTTTTGGAACAAGGTATTTGCCCTAATATGAAAGGTTTTGGGGATTCCAGTTTCCCAACAACCTCGCAACGTTTTATTAAACCAGTAGAGGACCTACCCCCTTCCAAACAAAGGCTCCTGGAAGAAACCCTCTGTATATGTCTTGGAGACACGGATTGCTTTCGATTATTTTTAATTTTAGCTCCCCTGAACATCTCTTTACTGGCTCTCCATTGCTTACTAACATATATGCCAGGGCTCTGGCTGATGTACTATCTGCAATGCTGTTTTTTTGATGTACTTCTCTTTAATAATAATATGACTGAAAACAAAAATAGTGCTACTAGAAAAGAACTACTTTCAAAATCAGTGCGACTCCGGCATTGGAGTCGCACCGATTCACACAGTTCCATTGCCAACAATAGGGTTACATAGTCTGGCTGAAAAAAGACAAAAATTCATCCAGTTCAACCATAGAGGAAAAAAAAAAAAGTTAAAGTCCTATACCCACAGTTGATCCAGAGGAAGGAAAAAAACCCAGCAAAGCATGATCCAATTTGCTCCTGCTGGGAAAAAAATTCCTTCCTGATCCCCCGAGAGGCAATGAGATATTCCCTGGATCAACTTTACCTATAAATGTTAGTATCCAGTTATATTCTGTGTATCTAAGAGAATACAGGCCTTTTTTTTAAAATCCATCCACTGAGCTGGCCAGAACCAACTCTTGAAGTCTATTCCACATTTTCACAGCTCTTACTGTGAAGAAACCTTTCCGTATTTGGAGATTACATTTTTTTTTCCTGAAGACCTTAGAGTGCCTCCTTGTCCTCTGTGATGACCTCAGGGTAAATAGCTCTACACCGAGTTCACTATATGAACCACTGATGTATTTATACATGTTGATCATATCCCCCCTTAATTTCCTCTTCTCAAGAGAGAATACATTCAGTTCCTCTAATCTTTCCTCATAGCTGAGCTCCTCCATGCCTCTTATCAGTTTGGTTGCCCTTCTCTGTACTTTCTCCAGTTCCCCAATGTTCTTTTTCTGAATTGGTGCCCAAAACTGAACTGCATATTCCAGATGAGGTCTTACTAATGATGTGTACCGGGGTAATATGATATCTCTCTCTGGAGTCTATACCTCTTTTAATACAAGAGAGGATTTTGCTCGCTTTAGAAACCGCAGCTTGGCATTGCATGCCATTATTAAGCTTGTGATCTACCAGAACTCCCAGATCCTTCTCCATCATTGATTCCCCCAGTTTTACCCCCCCGCCTAGTATGTATGATGCATGCATATTCTTGGCCCCCAAGTGCAGAACCTTACATTTATCAACATTAAACCTCATTTGCCACATAGATGCCCAATTAAACAGAGCATTGAGGTCAACTTGTAAGTTGGAGAATCCTGTAAGGACATTATTCCACTGCACAGCTTGGTGTCATCTGCAAAGACTGAAATGGGATCCCAGACCCTATATCATTTATAAATATATTAAAAAGTAAGGGTCCCAACACTGAACCTTGGGGTACACCACTGATTACTTTGTCATGCAATTTGACAGTTTTTCAAAGCGCATGACAAAGTTGCACTGGTGTGAACCAGGGCTTAGACTGTTTAAGGCTAGGTTCACACCTCTGCAGTTTGCATTTGACCTGTTTCTGCAGTGCTTTTTTTGCAATTGCGGTTTTTTTCCAACTTGCTGTTGGGCAGATCAAACCGCATCAAAAACGCACTACATGCATTTCTGCAGCATCTCCATTGAAGTCTATTAAACCAAAGCGCAACATTTTGTGTTTAAATAAATCCCAGACCCTTTCCAAAAAACGCACTGGGTGAAAAGGCGGAGATGTGAACTTCTCCCATAGGAAATCATGTAAATGGACTAGTGTGTTTTTGCAAAATGCACCACAAACTGCTTCGGTGTGAGCCTAGACTCACAGGAAGTCTGCCATGTAGCTCCCTCTGTTCATTCCCTTGTGACTCAATCTGGCTTTCTCTGCATTTTAGAAGCTGCCATTTGAACAAATTTAGAGACATTCCTCTCTCTACTACGAGGGAGAAAAGATTTTGCATTGACCATAAAATCCTTTTTCTCAGAATCCATTGAGGAGCACAGGTCCCTCTCAGGTGTTATGATAATGCTCTTGGTACTGCTGGCTACAAAACAGGCATGCTAGTAGCAGGAGGGGTTATTGTGGGCTGGCCTATAATTTGTTCATTTAATAGTATCCAATTTTCCTGTAGGCAGCAGTTTACCCAAAGGTGAAGGACTTCCAGTGTCTCTTAATGGACTCTAAGAAAAGATTTCTACGGTGTGTGTGTGTATGTATATATGTATGTATGTGTGTGTGTATGTATGTATATATATATATATATATATAATATATTA